AATAAGAATCAAATACTTTATGATAGTATAGAAAAAATCAATCACAATTTAGATCTGAAATTTATTCAGGTCTACAGAACATTGTTGATTCTGATGATATTACTATGAAAAATATTGGTTCGAAAATACAGTATTTTCTTAGTTCATAAGAGGAATGATCAGTAGAATGAACATAGCATAGAAAGAGAATCGGCAAAATAAATAGTATGTTTAGGTCTTTGTTATTTTTTCTTAGAATATAGGAGCCCTGTGGTCATTGCACTAAAACTTAGTCGTTGAGCCACTTGAAAGGTTTATGCAGTCTTGCATCAATGATCATTGAGCTGCATAATTAATTTATTGATAGGGAGGGTATGGGAGGGTCGAAAGAGCCAGCCTAGTACTATAAGGCAGGCAATAGCGAAGCCAAAACTAACAATCTTAACATTCACTCATAATTTTAAATAGCTACCACAACAATCAGGTATTGACTTAACCTTTATCCGCTTATACATATAGACTGCACAAGGAAGTATACATCCTTCACATGCTAATTCATGAAAAACTTCTCATAACTTACCCCTTTCATATGCATTGTACTTCGTTTAAAAGCTTTCATTTTAACTATGCTCATTAGACACGCTTCTACCCTGTATCACTTTGTCATAAAAGGATACAATTTCCCAGTTCTGCACATGACATGAGATCTTCTGATCTCGCAATAATGCTAGCCATGTCACTTTGTTGACAAGCTAGACATTATTATGCTCGATTATACTTTATTAAGTAAATGACAGGAATATACATATGGGAATAAAAGAGGATCGAAGTTGATTTATCAAAAACTTATCTTTTCAGAAACCTGCATATGTGCTGTTCCTACTAGTCTTAGGTACAGCATAACTGCCTTATTGTCCCAACCCCCAATTGCTCTTATTTGGGTGAGTGATAGACCGGCTTCCATAGCTGCAGTTGCTCCTCCTATTCTAATACTATGCGCAGTATAGCAGCTTTCTAATCTTGAATGTTTGGCAAGCCTTTTGACAACAACTCCAATCGCACCTACCGTAAGCTGCTTGCCTTGTTTTGAAAGGAAAAGGTGTGAGTTTCCTAATAAATTTGGTCTCACAGACATATACCGCTTCAATAATCTCACAAGGCAGTAGGGACTATCTATGCACTTAACAGGAATAAACTTTCCATTAGAGAACTGATCTGTCTTTGATGAACCTATTCTGATCCAACATATATTTCCTTTAAATTTGACATCATTTAGCCTCAATCTGCAAAGTTCTCCTGGGCATCTTATAGTTCTTAGGCCTATAGTTACTAATGTTGCATCTCTTATTCAGAAGCTTTTATCCACATAAGGTGGTCTATTGTTAACAAAATTTCTTAAGGCTAAGATAGGGAGAGGGTCGCGTGGCACTCAGGGTCTCAATCCTTTCTATATTCTTTTAATAGGGCTTTAAAAATTGTTTTAACTTTATACTCCTTAGAAGGGTCTGGGAGATGGGCCTTCAAATGTTATCTTGATACTGCAGCTAGAATATCTGTGCACTTTACAAAGGCATGCGTTAAGTCTAGCCATATAAGGCAAGAGATAAGAGTGTTTACAGAAGCAGGAAGAACCTTTTAGTTAGAGATTTTACAAAAACTAATGAATATTTTCCAAGCTTTATCCAAGCAATTATTCCAACCTTTAGAAAATGCTTTACTAAATAATAACTGTTCTTTAATCAATAACAAAATGTCACAAGTGAGACAGTGAAAATTAGCAACACGGGATGCTTCTTCACGTCGTTCATGCAGAGAGTTAGGTTTTTTGAAAGTATAAGATTCAGGGAGATGTTTGGAGAGTTGTAAAATGAAATGTTGCTGAAATTGGATTCTGAGAGATGTACAGACTTTTTCTTTGTCAATACTAGAAGAGAATTGTCGACTATAAGGAAAGAGTAAATTTCAAACCAAGAGTTAAAATGATCGAGTGAGTTTTTGAGAGAGGGAATATAGAATCTTTCAAGGAATAATGTCTTAAGGATATTGAAGAAGAGCTTGATGTTAAATCTAGCATCTGATGAATAGTAAGATATTTTTAATTAAGATCAGTAGTTTGAGTAAAAGATTTAATTTTAAATCTTTTAGGTCTGAGTTTTAGGTCTTTAGCAAATTTTTAATAGTCAATTGATTGGTAGTTATTGAATAAAAAGAGGTAAAGTCATACAATATTGAGGCAGAGTTGGAGATGGTTGTGAGCAGTATATTGAGCGATTGTAACTAGTGAGGCAAAGATTTCAAGCTAATTAAGTTTTGTGAAGAGAACAGTTGTAAATTTAAGGAGTAAATTTTTTAAAGTGGATTCAAGCAGGTCAAAAGGAATAGTAGCGCTTTTATCAATATTAGGATTGCTACTATAGATAAGATCAGTTAAGAATTCTGGTTATTGCCTAGCTATGATATAATAATGTAATAGAAAGAGGCCTTTAGTGCAGGTTGAGTAGTGGTAGCAGGCTTGATTTTTTTATCAGGATAAAAGTTTTAAAAAAATTTTTTAAGAAAAGTGAATAGTTGGAGAGAAAAGGTAGTTTGTAATTTTTTGTTAAGCTGTATTTCTTCAGTAATTGGAAAATTTGCAAGCCAGTCATATGTAGAGTTAGCTTTTGGTTTGGCAATGCTAGAATAAGTTTGGGAAGAAGGTTTATTAGTAGTACTGTCAGGTGGGTTAGTATTATTAGAATTATTAAGATTTAAGTTAGTATTATCAGAAATATTAGTAGTAGAAGGTTGGTTAGAGATGGGGTTGGTATTAGTAGTTGTGGTAAAGAAGGAGTCAATAAGATCAGAAGAAGTTGATGTTTGGTAAGAAAAGGTAGTAAAAAAATTGGTGGTTTGAGAGGATTCATGTAGAATGCTTTGGAAGGTTTGAGTAAGATTTTTCTTAGTTTGAGATGAGCTAGCTTCATGTTGAGATGAGGCAGTCATGCAGTTAAGATGGTAGACTTCGATATTTTTAGTAACATATTTTTCATTAGAATAGTGCCGGTCATTTCTCTTGGTACTACCACTAGGAAAAGAACATTTGGGACAAGTATGGTAATGTATATCAGGAGTAGGAGATGGAGGAATATTGTCGATTAAGTGGAGAGATTAGTTAGGAGTTGTTGAGCTGGTTTGTTAAGATTTTTTTTAGTATTATTGTTAACATGAACTGTAGTAAATTCAGTAGCTTGAGTATAGTTGGTATTAGAAATTGAGATAAATTTGGTGTGATATTTGCTACAAAGACAAGTAATCACAGAGATGGAAGTGGGAGCTTGAAAAAAATAAGTAATTTTGATATTTCTAAGGTTTTTAATTAGACAAGAAGTTGGTTTGACTTTAGAAGAAATTAGACGAGCGTTGTTGCCATTTTCTTCATCATAAAAAGCAATTCCAAAACTGTTAGAGAAGTTTTGGTAAAAGAAATCAAGGTCTGCAGTATCAGGCTCTTGGTTACTTAATGTAGGCATTTTTTAAATTTATTATAAATTAGATAAGTATTGTATTAGAAACTTAGAAAGATTTCTAATAGTTGAGTAGTTGATTTTACAAGAGTAATAGATGAGAACAAGGGTTGTATAATTGAAGTATTACAGAAGTAATACTGGTGTGTGACTAGAATGATTAGGGTCACAAATATGACTTGGGTACTGGTACAATTAAAGTTTGCAACACAAATTGTTATGTAAAATTGATAAGAACCAAATATGGAAATAGCTAATTGTGTTCAATGAATTTCTATTAATAGATGGGTTACAAAATTCTGGTGTAAATTAATAAAGTATATATTGGGAAATGATAGTATGGTTACACAAAATTCATGTAAGAGAAAAAGGGGATAGTATAAGAACAAAAGGTAGAAAAAAAATTTTTACAAGAGAGTAAAAGATGAGTTTAGCTGTAGTTCTGTTAATATTGAGTCAAAATTCTTCTTTTAGTGCTTGTTTTGATCAGACAAGTGTGCACTATAATTTTAATTAAAGGTATAAGACAAGTTATTGCAGTAGAAACTGCGAGAGAGTTAATTTTTTAAAATTGAGGACCAAAGGCCGTCAGTACAGTTTTATCTATGAGTTTAAGAGCTAGAACTAAAATATTTTCAGACTATATGTAAATCACTGAGCTGAACAAGTTTACTTAAGACACCAGACCCGATTGTCTTAGTAAAATTAAAAGTTATAAGGATTTTTAGACGGATGGTTTTTTTAGTTAATTTTTGTGTAATGGATTTGCAAAGAGTTTTTTCTCCCATTTCTATTAGTATTAATTTAAAAAACTAGTCAAACTCATCTTTATAGTCACTTTTTTTGTCTTTAACTTTACTGACAAACATTTCTTTACAGTTAATTTTACAAAATCTAGTCATATCTTCAACCTTATTACCTTTTGACACAATAGTAGTATAAGTACAAGAAAGCTTCTTAATAAATACTTTTTGATTTTATAACTACCAGAAACAGTTTGTAAACATCTGTGCCAAATTTTTCAGAAGCACACAAAGCTGTAATCTTAGTCTAATCATTTAGTTATATGAAAAGCACAAAAAGCATACAAGATAGCTAAATACAATAAAGACCTTTTAGTAATACCTTACAACATAATTACAAAACTAGATACAAATGAAAAACTATTACAAACAAGTAACCTTATACAAGAGAATAAACTAACATTTGACCTTATTACAGATACAACAGTAAATAATATACAAATTCAGTTTATATTAGAGGCACCAAACAGTACTATTCAGACAGAACACAAGACCTATACTAAAAGAAATAAATGTCTTATCTTTTTATAATATACAACTGCAGAAATTATCAAATTATCAGCTAAAGCAACACAATCAACAAATGGTCAACACCAAAGTAAAAAATGATCCAAACTACAACTGCTTAACATAGAAGAATTACTTAATCCAGAATCTTTTAACAATATTATTATATCATTACTAATATTTATGACTATAATATCAAATATACAAAATACTACTAAGCCAACCTACAGTCAAATTACACAAAAATAGCTCAATATATCTTAGTTTTATTACATTAATAACTTTGAATAAGTAGATATTTTGTATACCAAAATTATTGACAAAATCAATAAACTATTTGGCCAACAAATCTGGATCTATGAAGCAATAGTCAAGGCACTTCTAATACTAATTAAAATTTGTAATTTTATTAATTACAAACTTATTACAACATCAATTCAATTTATAATCCCATCAGTAATATTTCTTAAATTTAAATATCTTGATATCAAATTCTTTATCACATTTACTAAAAATTCAAATACCACTTCAGCACACCAAAAAGAATATAATAACCTATACAATAATGTTTTAGCTGCTTATAAACAAACTAACCAAATTACAATTACAGATACAGCTACTCACAAAACTATAAATACTATGCTCAAACAAATGCTTATAGTACAATATCTTTCAAATACCAACTTTACTTACTATACCTTTTTTATAATTTATAAGACCATCTACTATGCAAGAGATTTTTTACAAATCCAAAATGGGAATAAACAAACATTTACATCCATTTGAGCTACAATTAATAATGCATTCTAAGAAAAACTTATATCTTTACCATTAGAGTCTAATAAAATTCCTGAACATATTCAAGAAATTTTATCATTTACACTTCTAATTATGCAAAGATTATATACAAGGATTACTGTTAATGCATTAAGAAAAATCTTTAAGTCTGATAAGCTAAATGACAACTATTTTACAAAACTTTTAACACTATCAGAAAGATATCAAGAATTTCTTTTAGAATTAAAAACTTATTTTTTAATTACAAGCAGATAATTATTACAATATCTCTTATATTTTAGATATAAACTTGCTAACTACTACACCTTTACTATAATCTCAAATTCATATTTTTAATTTCCATTACCAAAACAATCATTATTTACTACATATTAGAAACTTAATTACAAAGTTAGAGGTCTTTTCTCATTCAACTTATCTATATTCAAAATACAATTAGCTAAGGCAATTGCATAGCTAAAAGAGTATTATATATTTAAATTCTTTCTAGTAATTACTTTATTATCAAATCACTTTTGCCTAATAATCCAGATCTCATTTGCACTAACTTACAGTACACCTACCTAATAACTAATAATTCAATAGCAAAAGAATTTTTTGAGGAAGTCTCTTAATAATATTATATTTGATTTCCAATATCTAATTACATAATGCAAGCAAACTCTATTGACAAACCTGATCTATCAACAGACAGCCAAGAGCTTTCTAAACTCAACATTACACTAGCTATTACAACATTTTAACAACTTATACAAATTATAAAAACACTTTGATAACATTTTTATTTCAAACAATTATCATTACTATGGATTAATATTACAAATCCTCTTGTTTAAACTGCAGAGCAAGAAGACAATGCCAATAATAATAAATTTACATAGACTATATAAGCCCTTTTATCTATATTTAACAATATAGAAAATATTAACTCTGCATTAATCTGGAATAATATACAACTTACTCTTCTAATAACCTTACAA